CTAAATGATGAGTAAACACCATCTTTTCATAGTCAAGCCATGAATATCCTCACCTGTGCGGCATTCCGATAATAAAGCTTTCCACACCTCTTGCACTGCAATGATCAATTACACACTTCATGGCTGGCACCAACACTTCACAACCTTCAAGACCAAAACGCTTTTCAGACGACCATTTTCTGGCCAGGAACTGTTCAAACCTAATTTTGAAAACAGATAATTCAGTAACAGCAACATACAATTTACACAATTATGTAACTGTTGCAGAAAAATTAACTAAACAAGCAGCCTCTTGGTTGAGATAGCCCTGCTGTTAGCGATGCACATATCATCACAAAATGAACAAATCTAAGTGAGGTCCACCCAAGGTACCTATATGCCAATCAGACTTTTGAACAGCGGTTTTGAACAAAAAATCAAAAATATCACTTTTTACCAAAAATTAGAGAAATAAAGATATCATGAAATGAACAAATCTAAGAGATGTCTATCCAAGGTACATATACACCAAAACAATCAGACATTTTTTAAGAAGTTGATGTTGATGCGACGGACAATCAAGTTTTATTTATAATGTTCCAATAAACCACCTCCAAACTTTTTGGGATCTAGCATTATGCATGAAATAGAACTTTACAAATGAGCTATACACATTGAATGGTCAATTTTAATGAAGTAAGGGTATCTCAACACCATGTTCTCTTCTGAAAGATCAGTATTTCAAAATTGAACTATAAATCAAATTAAATCAATTGATTTTTGTGCCCATACTTTTCATGCATAAGAAGTTTGGAAAAATACACTAATCTGCACATACAGTCACAGTTGTGACTTTGCTGTGGATCAGCAGAATACCATCAGGTGCAAAGCTTACTATACTACTTACCACTATATAAATACTGATCCAAAATGTGCACCAAATGTGCAAAAACCTGCTGATATGACCTGTGACATGGCACATACTTGTGCTAATTTTATGCAGAATTATTCTTCTAGCTACATAGATTGTACATCCTTGAATTTCATTCATATTCATTTGGTATCATAAAGGTCATTTTGGTTCAGTATTTACATGGCTGGAAAAATATGAAAAAAAAATCAAAACAATGTAAACATAATTTTTTCTTACCTTGTGGCTCTGATTAATCTCTCCAAAATCAAACGCTTGTCCATCTTGGTGAATTTCATAGCATCAGGAGTTTCAAATTTCTGACGGATCCAGTCACACTGGTGTTTGTCATTGATAAACATGAACTCAACACCGATATGCCGACAATAGGTTGACTGTACGTGATTAATCAGAAATCAAAATAATTAAGCATTGTCTCAAATGGGAATCCTTCATATTCCCAGCACAAACTGTTTAAACATACCAATATTTGGTTAGCATAGTGCCAGTGCCAGAAAAATACCAAAAACGCATTCTGGGGCCTGCAGCGAGCAATTTTGTAAATCAACTCATTGAATATTATTATGTTTTCCGCCATTTTGGAACAACATTTCACATATTTCATGAATTTTTCTACCATTTCATTGTTAAACTGGGATACACATGGACTTGTACGCTTATAACTCAGGTTTTCGTCTTATTCGAATTTTGAAAAAAAATTACGCATGTGAAAGGTAACAAAAGTAGACTTTGACATTCAAAAAGTAAATCAATGCTACCGATAATTATAACACACCACATTCAGAATCTGTAATGTGATTGATCAACCTGTTGTCACATGGAGGGGGCCAGGCGATATAGTTCAAAGCTGCACCAATGATATAACAAGTCAATACTTCTATACGTTTCCAAATTAATCTCATTTTAAAACAGCTATGGTAATTATAGTCAACACTACTTGCTGTACATATAAAAAACAGTCATGTTAACACACTTCTAGAATCCATGCAGTGGTTGCACTTGATACAATTCACAGTTGGGCCAGAAGCAAAAAAAAAGCTTTTGCTTCTCATCCAAATTAAAAAAAGATTTAACAATTTTTGTTGGTATTAAACTTTAAAAGTTTACTTGGATCAACAAAACAGATGAATCAGAAAACAAACATTTCCCTCGTTCTACCAAAAGTGGCGCAATAAACCTAATATGCAAAATTGCAACAAAAAAAGTATCATGTTATGCACATAATAAAATCAGTTTTTTTTGGCCTCAGCTATGTCACTAGAATATTGACTTGCATGTATGTGAATCAACACACAACAATTTTTGAATGTTTTACTGTGATAAATTGTTTCTGTTTTAATGGTAGTGAACTACTTGTAGACTTGATTGGTTCACAGTCCCTCTATCATGATAGAGGGACTGTGATTGGTTCAATGAAAATGCCAAGAGCAACTTTCTATCTTTAATTGAATATTTCCCATAATTTTATGATTATAGTCAATTACAGATTATCAAAGTGTTGATGTCATGATAGTTGAAGGTTTTTTTTTCACAGTCTCGGCCTCTACAGGCAGCTCTATATATAGAAACGCTCATTGTTAGAGTTGTGAATACAATGCTCCATTGGTACCACAGAACTAGTACATGAAGGTTTTATATAAACATGCATATGAACGAAATGTCTTTCTTTTTTTAGACTATATATGATTAATAGTAAAACCTTGAATCAATGTTTGGATAACCTGAAGTCATTTAATATGGTTGGCTATTTAAGAATGGATTCTGAATTTTTGCTTTTAAATTCTGTTATCTGTTTCCTGCACTGTCCAATATTGTTTTACGTGTACAGTTACCCGGTACATGTTTCCATGCAAGCTTAATTATATGCATGGCACTTATTTAGCTGTGATGTGTTTGAAAGAAATTTGGTCTCTTTTCAGACAGAACTGTGGGTTGTTTTTTACACTAACCAGTCAAAAAAGATGGTCACTGATAATGGGTTATATAATGTCATTGTGGGGTTAATTTAATGAAATATTAATGGTTTGCATGATGGTACAAGTATGGACATGATTCAATCAAAACTGCATCAATTAGTAATTGGAATATACTTTAATATATAATTATAATGAATGCATAAAATAATTACAACTTATTTCAGTATATTATTATTCCCTTTAACCTTTTGACCTGTAAGGGGTACTTATTCGATGCCCACAATAACAGTTTTGAATCCACACCAGTGT